TTAGTGACGTTGTAGGGAGCTACGTGTTTAATTTCTTCAAGCTCAGCGCCAACGCTGCAAGAGTTTATATTTACGTATCCTCTACCTGCAACCTCCCAGGATCAGAGCCGGGCGCCCGGCTCTGATATAACCAAAGGTCGGGTGGAGGGTGGTTTGGTTTCAACGTTGACAGGTCCAACTGTTGGGCCTCAACCTTTTGGTTCTTGTTTTTCTTCAAGCTTCCACAGAAAGTGACACGTTTCCTTGGAAACAAAGCTCTCAGCGAACGGTCGGTCTGTGAATTTCAAGCCTCGGTCAACCTTCAGCGGGAGGTACGGTGAACAGAACCCCATTTGTGTGGGCTGACGGTGCGTGCGCTGTCTCTTTAAAATGATGTTGTCTTCAGCTAGGAGGAGGGATTAGGTGTGAAAAGCGACTTCCCACTCATGTCGTTTTTGGAAAAGAAAAAAAGAAAAGAAAAAGAAAGAACTTCCCACGCACAAGAAAAGAAAAGAAAAGAAAATAAAAAGAAAAACAGAAAGACATACAAAAAGAAAGAAAGACCAACAAGGGTCAAAAAGCCTTATAGAAAGAGAGAAAGAAGAACAAAAAAAATCCTTTTGTTTCCTTCCTCTTCTTTCTTGCTTGCTTGCTCGCTTGCTTTCTTTCTTGCTTGCTTGTTTGCTTTCTTTCATTCCTTCCTTCTTTCCTTCTTTGCTTCTTTCCTTCTTTCTTCCTTCCTTGCTTCCTTCCGCCAGGGTGTCAATATCCCTTTTGGGTTGTTTAGGTGCAGTGCCATTCAATTTTGAAGAAACAATTTAATTTTGTTGTTCCTCAGCGCGCTCTCCTCAGAAAACCCAAGTCTGTGGGGGATCGTGAGCGTCACTGCCCAAGACGTTCGACACAGCATCTTTTGACCTTTGACGCTGCCAAGGCTCATAGAAGAAGTCTCTGCGGAAGTTATAGTACGGCAGCCAACCTTGGATTTGGAGTACGGCGATGCTTAATATCCAAGTACCGCAGATTCGCTTGCTGATCTGAATGTGTTTGCCTCAAGTCCCCCGGAGTTCTCCCAACTTCCCAAACCCATCTGACCCACGATGGCACAGAACTATATCCTGAAACCATGAAACCCGCGAATCGAAAGAACACGAAACCTGCCGCTACTTCGACTCACAAAACAAAAGGCCGACCAGTCTCTTCAGGTCAAGTGCTGTGACTCAAAGGAGACTGGTCCCCAGGGTTTCGTGTTTCTTATTTCCCTGGCAAAGCTTCCCCCCAAGCGGGTCTAAGATCCAACATAGTCTCAGCGTCTCAGACGTCTCTCTAGTTCCAACGTATGACAAGTCAGTGTCTTAACTGTTCGATCGATGTTGCGTCTGTGGAAGATAGACTAGATGGAAGAAGGGCACACTTTTTTGTGAAACTTTTGGGGACGCATGTTAGGAATGTATTTATGCCCCCAAACTCACTGGTAACAATAGTGTCAAGTTGCAGGTTCCAACTTTTTTCCAAGTAAACAGAGATCCACGTGATGCCATTCCTAGTCTTAGCACATCTGACCCGCCATGAATCACTGGGATCTATCACCATGCATGACCTTGCCGGCGTACCCCGAACCGAGAACCGAAGCGACGAAGCGCTTCGCGTTCGCGCGGCACCGCGTGAACGCGAAGCGCACCGCGTTCGCCAGGGAACCCAACACCGGGACACGGCCCACCACGGCTTGCTGAACGCCCTTGATGATGTCCTCAAAGGAACGACACGGTCGGACGAGGGAAGACTGGCTTAACCAAAAACAGAACAGAACAGGTCTAAATAACAAACAGCCTGAAGAAAAAATCTATAAAGAATAACAAGGTCTGAAGAACAAACCCCACAAAAAAAATAGAAACAAGTCTAAAGAACAAGCAAACAAGAGTTACTCCAAGAAAAAAACGAATGGATCTAAAGAAAAAAGACACACAAACACGGCCCAGCAGAGCTTGCTGAACAACCTTTGTGATGTCCTCTGTTGATGGACCCCCTCCATTGGAGGCTTCTTTTGCGGGCTGGGCCATGTCCTGAGTCGCCGCAGGTCCACGCACATCGTCCACTGTGCTTGGGTTGTGCTCTTAGGTATGTTGTGTTATATATTTATATACATTTATGTTGCTATTTGTTTGTATGATCCTGTGTTGGGCCACCTTTAGCCAGAACAATCCAGAGTGCCCTTCTTGTTGGTACTTGTTGCCTGTAGTGGCACAGCTCTTTACATCTGACAATAATGTGTGAAGCAACGATGATGATTAGGAGTTATGATAGTCATGAAAGAGGGCCAAACATGGAAAACACACAATTGTCCACGTGAACCGCCAGGTCTGCGGAAAAGCGGCATCAACTGTGACACCTTTCACTGCTGATCAACATCATTCTCATCGACGTGCGATCAAGCCCGCACACCATTCAGCTGTTCATCTCCTTTGGCTACTGACCATAGTCTTTCAAAGGCAACGTTTGTCAGGCATGAGGCATGGCTGCAAATAGACACATAAAGCATACATCCCTCCAAGAGGTGTCCATTTATAGTCCCTTAGCTGTGATTCGGAGTGTCCATGAACCAGGTCCTGGTATAATATCTCTCTATATATATATTATATATATATATATTAATATTATATACCCTCCCTGAAACAATCATGGAAGCTGAGCAAACCCCCCTTGTAGAGGACAATTGGTCTTCCAGGGGCCTATGTTCCACTTCCATGATTGTTTCAGGGAGTGTAATGTATAAAACAACCAGCACACAAACACACTTGGGCTGTCTTCCATCTCCACGCGGCCGGACGCGGCATCACCAGGTCCGCGATCCGGCTGATCCGCCCTGAGCGATCGGTGGAACGAAGACATGGGAAGACATGGGAAAACAGTCTGCAGTCTGGGGTGACTAGGAAAACAAACTACTCTGGGGTGAATATACGATTAAGAAGACACACCATGACGAACACGGAAAACGAAGTGGAAAATGGCGCCAGTGCCTTGGAAGACTTTCCTTTCCTTTACGAACAAAGGATCTTCCACTTCCATGTTCGTCAGTCAGAGTGTACTAAGAAAACCGTCTGCAGTCTGCAACATGTTTCTGTCCAGTTGTTTAAACATGTTCACAGGAATTGTTGGGCCGCCCGTCCAGGCGAACGATTTTATCTCTCATCTCTCATCTCATCATCTGCTGGAAGTACCAAAAATATCCAAAAAGCAACTATTGGAAGTACAACGGTCTTCTCAGTGCACCATCCAGGGCAGGTGGTTTCGGACATCCTTCCGCATCTTCAGGTCTGCAATCGTTTCCCATTTCCCATTCGTTTCGGACCCCTTTTTGGGGCCAATCCCATGCCCATGTTCCGAGCCCACGAGTTGACGAGAGCAGTTTGGATTGAAAAGAGGGTTCCCCTGGCTCCCCTTGGCTCCCTAACTCTGCCATGGAACGCTCTTCGGGCACCTCGCGCGGGGACAAGGTCCCCTGGGCATTCAGCTCGGTGGGCCTGGGAGGTTCAAGCTGGTGAACAAGACCAGGTGAAGCAGGGAGGGCGGCCAGAGGGAAGGGAAAGGAGCTTGTGGCCACCAGCCCAAGACCTTGCTCAAGCATTCCGAGCAACTCCAGCTAATGCTAGCATTCGTGGACCAGGAATTCTTAAGGTCACTTAGGACTTAGCTGGTGGCGGGCGTTGTGGCTGACAGTACCATCAAACTGACGGTTTAACTTGAACTTAAAAAATGATGCTCCCTTTTGTGATGGAGAATTATTGCATGTTCTTAGCTGCACCTTTCTCAAAGGCAAGACCTTCAACATCTGTAATTTACCTAGCGGACATCAGGAGTACTTGGTCACGGTTGTTTCAGCATGTTTCAACAAACCTGCATAGGTCATGTCAACCCCTGCAACTGTGCACCAAACTAGCACCCGGACTCATATACAGTACACATGTTCATCTTCCCAACCCCAAAACTCACAACCACACCCTTTCTCCCGTAGCCGAGCCACACACTCAAGTTGTTCTTCTTGACCACGGCATTCAACGCCACGTCTGCCATCGGCGGCGCTTCGCCTCCCGCTGCGGCACTCTGCCGCGCGCGGGCGCCACTCCCGGGCCGTCACAGCTGCGGTTGAAGGCGGAAGGAGGCAGAAGTGGTCCGAACCGAAAGAAATAGCCAGTTCTGGTGTCACATTTTGGTGGATCTGTAGGTCGGATGATGATGGTTTTGATGCTTATTCCTCTGGGCGCCTCTACGTTGTTCCACTGTTTGTAGTCTGCGTGACTGTTGGATAAGCTGAATGAGATTTAGAAAAAACATGTCGTCTATGCAAGTCTGCAAGTCTGCCAGTGTTGTTCTTTGCATTATTGTCAAGTGGTGTGTGGGAGGTCTGGCCAACCCTGTGGGGAACTTCACAAGCTGAGAAGTACTGAGTAATGCTGCACACTGTGCTGCACCTCTTGGGAAGCCATGGGAATCCCTCGTCTTTCCCCAAAACGTGTCGCAGATTGGGTAAAACAAACAGATTTGCTGGTGATTTGCGGAGTTCATGAGAAGAACAGAAAGAACTTTCTCGTCCGCGTCTGCATCCTCACCGATCATGTCATTTTGGGCGCCTGGCATCCGCTGATCTTCCACCACCTGTCCTAAACCATCGTGTCCCACCGGTCTGTTCCGGCTTCCACTCATCCAAGTGAGGCTTCCCCCCTTTTTTCCACCCCCAAAAAAAAGGCTTTTGCAGGTGATCTACTTTTCCTACTGACTGGATTGGGTAGGTCTTATCCGGCAGATCCCTGGTCCCTTTTCTCGGTTCTGCACGGCTCAAACGACGAGAGCTTCGTGCAAGCAGTTTGGGAGCCCGACAACGAAAAGTACACGTGCCTTTGTCCAAGACCAAACGGGCAGTGCAGGTAGTAGGCAACAAAAACCAAACAATACGAAAGGATTGTGGATCACATTCTTGAAGAGTTCTAACCATCACCCTCTCTTTCCAGGCCAAAACCTCGAACTGGTCAGGATGCTGATCGAGGATGCTCTCGTCCACTTGAGAACTCCGTGCCACGGCCACCGCAATGGACTTCCGGGTCCTCGCGACCGGAGTGTCCCGTCGACCCGGTGGCGGAGACGTCCGGTGCCCAGTCCCGGTGGCCGGTGAGACTGAACGAGTGACCGGCACCCGACGATAGACAGGTCTCCGGCTTTCGGATACTTCAGGTGGTGTCAGGTGGTGACCTGTGAAGTCGGGTGCTGGTATATTATACCGTTGTCCCTGAAAGGACCGAGACAAGACGTATCCTAAATGTGGTCCCATGGATTCTCTGGGTTCTTGAGTCGTCATGGTTCACACCCATGCAATATATCCCAACATCCATCCAAATCCTACAGTACAATCCCGGCGCTTTTCCTCTGTCTCAATCGGTGCTTCGCTTGGGGCGGTGATCACTGCGCCTTGACGATGTTCCCGCACAAAGCAACGGCGGTGTCCAAAGGTGAGAACACCCAAAACACCTTGGACTGGGAAGCCTTTGCAGTCCCATTGACGAAAATGACCCTTTTTGTATGTAAGAAGTCACCATTCCATACAGTACATATCCGAATCCAGTCGTACATTCTCAGGTTCGGTCTCCTCCTGGACCCCAAAAAGTCGACCACGTATCATCAAAGTGTCGAACACATCCACCTTTTCGGTACGAAAACGGATCCCTAGAGATGGAGTGTTTTTCGATGTGGATCTTCCAGAGGTTGAATGACCCGAACTAGACTATCCCAGTTGGGTACCCCAGGTGACAGGTCCTAGTTCAGGTCACTTACAGTAACCTCTCTTGGTTCCCAATCATTTCAACCTGTTCCACCCATACGCCCAGGCCGCCCAGACCCGCCCAGACCCGCCTCCGGTTCTCCCGGGGCCGCGGGGCTTCGTCGTCGTGACCGTGACCGTTGTGACCGTCGTGACCGTCAGCGCTGAGGTGGTCGCCTATCCGGGCACACTGAGTTATACGGGGAAGAGATAGTCGAGGGTTATACCCATTTTTTAGGTGACTGAGTGCACTAGTGTATACCCATTTTATACTGAGTCATTATGTACCTCGCACCTATACATATTGGAGATAGTCGAGGTAAGTCACAGTCACTGTCATGGTCGGACCTACAAATCCCAGGAGATTGTTTGAGGATTAACACAGTATCAGTAGACGTAGCGAGATGTCGGCAAAACCACCAGAACGGGATTGTACTGGCTGACGAAACCACACCCAATTCTTGGACTGGCTGAGTGTGAGAGCCCCATGTGGACCATCCCTCAACCTGAATCATGAGGAAACAGAAGATAAGTGATGATCAGTGACTCCAGTTCGCCACATAGGTTGACAGCAGTTTTAACTAAAGTGCACATGTCAGGGACTTGGTAACAAGTCCTGGCAACCATTGGAACATGTGTTGTTCCTTCAGGGCTAGCTGTAGCCAGGCCCGAAACACGATGCCATGCCTAGGACATCATCCACAAGCAATAGCAGCGTGGGCCGATCTTGATCTGTGCTTTATTGTATTTTGTTCAACACGAGTCATTAGCATTTGCTTTCAATGTACCACAGATGAGGATCCCACGGTCAATCAACCGTTACTGTAATCCTAGTCCTAGGCATAATTGTGGGCAAAAAAACACGAGGCAACCGTTCATCGACCAACGCCCTTGTTTGGGTCCTGCAACCTCCATACACTCCCGATCGATCATCGATCCTGTGCCTTCCGGCGCTACCACACTTGCAAAGCCCTCGTCGCCTGGCTGATTTGGATGAGCATGGATGACACGATGTACTCGGCGTGTCAGGCGTAGCAGTAGGGCGACCCGCCGATGTGTTGTGATCAACCATGCAAAACCCTGCCGGTCGTGAGCCCGAGCACGATCCTCACAGCCAACCCAATGGGAACTCATGGCAACCTATCCCAAGGAATCAGAACCGCTGCGTGTTAACAGCGATTTGGTCCCTCTCTCTCTCTCTCTCTGTGATTCTATATGTCACTCACCACCCAACGGGTAAAACACACATCATCCAAACTTTTGAACCATGAAACCCAGTGCACGTGAGTCATAGGTCGGCTGCTTGCATCGACACCCCCAAAACATAAATCATTAAATGAATCAAACAAAGGCACAACAGTCACATGAACTGGTTTGATCTGCGGAAACAAAGACACAACCAGTCTGTTTTGATCCACCCCCACGGTCAATCTCACGCTGCAACTGCATCCAGCCCCTTGCATCACAAGATCCGAGAAAGAGATTGCAAAAAGAAATAACATTCAAAAAAAGAATGTGCATCTTGCTCGCGCGGTCGGTGGGTTTGTGATGGTTTGTGGCGTGCTTGCTTTCTTGGGTGCTGATTGGTTGCCCCCCCCCAAGATCTACACTACACCACACACACACGGTATGCACGGCCACCCCTGTGGCCACCCCTGTGGCCATGTGGCATGCTCGCGGCACGACGAACGACGAACGCCTGCGACCACCTTCGGCTCCAAGACCACCTCGTTATTGGAAGGCTCCGCCGACTGCAAATCCTCCGTCCGCTCGGTCCTGGGACAGCATCCCGGCGGCTCCGGGCGGAGCCGCCGGGGGCGATTCCACATCCAGGCGATAGGCCGGGCGTTTGTTAGGCCAGAACAGCAAGGTTGATCTGAGGCAGTACTTCAATCATAGTAGCACACATACATAGAGTTTCACATTGCCTTCAGGATGGGACTGTATCAAACACAAACAGGTGTATGTTTCCATAGCTGCAAGGTACAGGTAGTTTGAAAGGGCATGATTGATCAGCAGGGACTCTTCAACTAGCATGGCATGCACATGCAACGCGAAGGTGTGGAGTTCATGGCCTAGCGTGGTTAAACAGTCTTCTTATGTCTGCTTCAGCTATAGAAACATGTTCAACACATAGGACCAAGGACTTCTTCGGTAATCAATACCAAGCGGTGCGCTGTTTGGTGACGTGAAATCCCTTTTCCATCCTTTTCCCTATTTCGATCCTAGCATAGAATTCCCTTACCAAAAAACATACCCATTTCTCAAGCCAGTGTCTTGAGAACCACAACATGTGGGACAAAACTGGCCAGCCAGGCTCAACTGGGTCATTCCTTCCTCTCTTTTTGCCCTCTTAGGGGTCGTCGCCATGGCATGCGTCTCGTGCTCTTGGAGCACTCGCCAGCTCCAAACCCAACCGAGACGCATAGGCTCTGTGACGTCTTCGTCGCCTTTAGGTGCCATCTTGGCAGGGCCTCAAAAAGTTGGAAAACCACACGAAACCTGAAGGTTTTAGATGGCAACTACGAATATGGTAGGATATACATGGAATTACATGGATGTACTATAGGTATACGGTATACTATATATTATATGGTGTACAAACACCGTCTCCGAGACCGGAGCAGCTCTGGAGCACGAAGCAACAGCCAACAGGCTGCCGACCGGCGCTGCGCTTCGCACGAAGCATGAAGCGCCACACGTTTGCCCCGTGAGGCATCAGGTCGGACCAAGAGTTGCATACACGTCGCAAGAAACAACTCCACACGAGTGAAGTGCAAGACGATATAGATGCTCTTCAGAGGGCCAGGTTGATCATGGGCCGACTGGAACTGGTTGATCATGGTTGATCCAAAGCCGAGAGTCGCGGTCAAGTCACTTTCACCGCTGGTCCAAATCAGGAGTTTCAGTTGACAAAACAAAGTGCACACTGAGCCTGTGGTCGTCAGACCGTCAAAGAAGTCTGGGCAGCTGGCACACCATCTTTAGTTGTCTTCCGAACAGAGTTGCTCTCGAAGCTCGCCTTCCTGTGATCATGAGGGTCTGGTGTGTTTAGAGGTGACAAGTCGATTCCGGAAAAGATTATAAAAGATTAAACTAATCTATATCAATGTCGACCAAAGACGTATGTTCTTCGCCAGCAGAGGAGTCGAACAAATGCAGCTCAGCAGACGGACTCTCACACCGACGGCAGCATCGACCTTGATGTCCTCGTTCTTGATCAGCGAACGACCTCCAACAGATCGTAGCTTCGAGGTACTCTTCTTCTGTCGGCTAAGATGGCATACACTAAAGACTCCTTGGGAGACCTCCAAAAGACTCCCTTCAAAGAAGGAAACTAGGCAAACACCCATTAGTTGGGAATCGGAATCTCCTTTAAACATCGCAATATGATATCGATATGATTGGTTATTTCCTTCTCTTTTGGACCCTTCGTGCTGCCGATTGAGTCCCTCCCAAAAGTAATACACTGAACGACTTCGACCCTCACACCAGGATACCTGAACAAGAGTCTGACCGGGCAGTTGTGAGGTCCACAGTTTTGAGGACAAGACTACATAGTCAGACGTTTGGTAACGGACAGCGGTGTCGACCGCAAAATAGTAGACCTGAAAAACATGTGGCGTCATTCCCAGGCACTCCATGTATGGAATATTTACCACCCCATGACCCCAGGTCAACCACTCCATGCAGTGGACCCCCAGACTCGAATAGAGGTCCATAGGACCCGAACAGTGGACCCCCAGACTCACCCGACCGCCCTTTTTAACCGGCCAAAGGGCTTTTACGTCCGCTGCCCCACTGGGGGCCTCGGTTGTCCTGGCCAACGGCGCACGACCCTGTTTCCTCCGAGATCCGCGCCGCTTGGTGCCTCTTCTTTACCCTCATTGTTTCTTGTGTTGATGGATTATGGTGTGACCAGACTCGCTTGTCTTCGGATCGATTCCGTTCCAAGGGTTTGGGCGTCAAAGCGGACAAGTGGTGGATTATGTTGGTTCTAGGTGCGGTAGAAGAACTGGGGGTGAAAGGGGATGTGTTTGGACCTTCGCACGTCGCTGGCTAGCTCATGTTTGGATGCTTTGACATTGGGAGGCGGAGAATCTTATATAATGTTAACAAACACACCTTGTAACTGGAAGGTTGGGTCACCCCTTCAAAAAACATGCAGACCATATGAACAAGAACATGAACAAGCCACAAGTTTCCGTAAAATATTGGTCTCAGCATGCCCCTTTAAGACACTATAGAGGTCCCTGTAACAGGTCTGGACTCGTTGATGAATGTCAAGCAAAACTGGGCTGATGAATCCGAGTCGGCTTCTGGCAGCTCCCCCTTTGGTGCCCTCCAAGGGTTATAGTGTTACAGTAGGTTTCGAGTGCACACCAATTTAAAGAGAGGAAAGTTCCTCCAACCTTTGGGCATTTTATGCCCCATAGGAGGACGCCCAAGTAGGTCCGCGCTGCAGCGCGCCGGACCTACGGCGCAGCCACCTCCAGCTCTTCGCTCGGCACCTCCGGCTCTTCACTCGGCACCTCTTTCGACTCCTCGACCTCAGCAGACACAAAGGATTGGTGCCCGATGCAGAGCAGCCGCTTCCAAAAGCAGCAAGCCAAGCCGATGCTGTTTCACCATCCAGAGGTGTCATGGATCTTTAAATCCAATTTGTACTTTATGACGACTGGAGATCTTTGATCTTATACTTTTGATACTACAAAGTCATTCATAGATCCTTGATCCAACTATGGATCATAGTGTGCTTCATGTCACTGCCAACAGAGCTGTGGAGGAACAGTCGACCACTGTCCGAGTCGCGCTATGACTTTGTGCTTTCCCTGCTTACTTCAAGGTTCATGTCAAACAACCACCAATGGACCACCCTGGAGAAGGATCAAACACACTGATCATCCAACTGTTCTGAAAAGAAGACTGATCAAGACGGAATCTCCAGGTGTGGTCTGAAAAGAACTAAAGACTAGACCGCCAAAGGGAGCTGGCCCCAGTAGAGCACATAGCCCACACCCACACATTCAATATCTCTTATAATATTACAATCATTGCAATATATTTATATGATCTTATAGACTTCTTAGATGATCTTGCAGACTTCTCTTAAACTTCAATATCTCTTATATCTCTTATCATTTATGATCTTGCAGACTTCTTGTACGATTCCGCCAATCCCTCCCCCAAGAGAAGAAGCCCCTTTGCGTTCATTGAGCCCGTCTCGGAGCCTCCACCAGCTGAGCCATCTGAACTTCCGGGGAAGGCGACGCAAAGGTCACCTCCTCTCCTTCGAAGTCCTGGTGAACTCCGCGGCGACCGGAGGCGAACGGGAGGCGATCCGAACTCAGCGTGACGCTGGCATGATGGGTTTGTATCGGGACCTCGGGATGGAGCTGCAGTACCAACTTGGCGAACTTGGCCAGACATGGGTGGAGTAGAGTCAGGTCTCCCATATATTCTTCATATGGGTCTAGACGGCTCAGAAGCTTCAAGAGGAAGGTAATGAGAAGACATGATGAAAATGAGAAGACAACCGCCTTCCATCGTTGCCCGGAGAGACCAAAGGTTCTGGTGAGTGTCCCGGTCGCGGACACCACGGGCATTTTGAAGAGTGAGGAGTTCTGAGGACTCCCATGGTTTTGGGAGGCTGAGGACTGGCTTGGTGGAAGTAGATTTGGAGAAATACGTAGCCATTGAGACTCCACCGGAGTGCCATTTTTACATTGAGGTGGTTTTAAAAGAAGGGATCAATGCAACTATAGTATATAATTGTATATTATAGGGGGGTCTATCCTATTACCAGTACCAGTGGATGATGATGGTTCAGTTGCCTCCATCTCTAAAATTGTGATTTGCTTGTTTACTGATGGCTCTACATGCTTACTAGGACAGAACCCCCAAACAATACTGCACATCATATGTCATGTTGAGAGTTCGATGTTGCAAAAGCTGCTGGAATTGCAACGAGCTCTTGGAGCTGCTCTTTTTCAGCTCTAGACAAGACTGGATCCAAGGATTTATCATGATGATTTATCCAACTTTTGGTGATTATGTGAGTATTTACACCTCAAGAGATCTCAAGAGCAATTGGGATCCGACCCCCAAAAGGTATCAAAAGGCCACGCCACTCCGCCATGTTCTGAGAACTTCTTGGACTCGAGGTATGCTGAGAAACTCAAAATGCCAAAAAAGGATCTTCCTCGTCCAACGCATCTCCAACTGCCATGAGGCCCTTGTGGGTTGAAATTGAGACTCCTGGGCCATTTCCTGGAGCCTCTGGGATGACATTGTTTGTGTTGGGTCTCCAGCAACTCACCAGAACCCGCCCAAAAAAGCAAAAAATTGCCACACAGCTACTTTGCAATGACACAACTCATCATCTACTTTCCACTTTTCAATGCTCTCCCGACGCTTTCCCGCCACACCTTGAGATCCATTTCAGGTTCTGTTAGACCAAGAACATTGGCAAGGTCACTCAGAGCCTGCAAATCCAGGGGGAGTGCAACATCCACAGTTGACGTTTTTAGTGCAACATCCACAGTGAACCCAGGATCCCTCGCGGTGTGATTTCTGAAGATTTGTCCCAGGTGTTGAAGGGATTCATCCGATTTCTTGCAGTGCCCATTGTTTTTCTTCGCAGCTGGTGAGATCCTCCTGCGGCATGCATCAACAAGATGCACCCCTTGGTCCAAGTCCTTGAAGGGGCATTGGTGGACTGGGCTTGGACTGAGAGCCAATGAAAGGCCTTCCAAAAGCAACGCTTTTCCGACCTCCACCGGAAAGCTCGCCGTTCAGAACGTGCGAATTGCTACATGACCATTCTAATAGAAATTTCATGAAATTTCTAAACCACTTCTGTCGCCGGTTTCGAGGCGATGGTCTAAAGTCTAAAGACTTCCCAGCTGCTTGAGGCACTCCGAACCCGACTTTTTTCTTCCACCAGGTGCAGCTGGAGCCGCGAAACCATCTGCCCCTCCCGCCTGGTTTGGATGCTCCTTGGGATGCTCTCCAGAGTGCGAGGACACTCGGGGCGGTACCAGCGCTCCACCGGCCTCTTCAGGCTGGGAATGGATGGGAGGGGCGCCTTGTGGCGGTCAAAGCCGCATCCTACAGAGCATGAGCATATTGACATCCCTGTTTAGAGAGGAATCTGTGCAGCTCTTGGTTAGATGTACATGATCTCTTATACCAAGTACGATGCGAGTGAATACGTGTTCCATCCCCGCTATGACTGTTTGACCAGCATGATTCCTTCCGCTTGTCTTCAAAATTGCAGCTTGCACCCAAAGGATTCCAGGTCAGCAGGTCAGTCTGATGCCACAGAACAGTTGGCTTGACCCATCCCACCTCCTCTCCGACCTGATCGCCAGCCGGGTCGCCAGTGAACGGACGGGTCCGGAGTTCCCACACCGCTCACTGCCGCTCCCTCCGCTTCGACCGCATCCCCGACCCCCGACCCCACTCCAACGCTGTCTGCCTTCAGAAGCCGCTCCAACGCTTCGATCCTCTCCTAGCGGTGTGATTTTTGGGAAGCATGCAGCTCCATGTGTTTTGTGGGCGCGAAATACAGCTTGACGTATGAGCATGGGAGGATTTCCACAGCTGTGCATGGCGAAACACACACAGGGCGCCATCCATTTGGACTGGGAGATTGCGTCTTTTTGACCAAATCGCCGAGCCGACATGTCAAAACCCAGCACAGCTGGATGCTTTGACACATTTCTCTGAACAAAAAGGCCGGCCCTCCTGTCTCCGAGACATCTCGGAGTTTCTGTGCATCTGAACCCTGCTGATCCAAGTTGAAAGCCATGCCATCTGGCATGTGGGAAGTTACATCTAAACTTGCATGTGTGGTGATAACAGCAGGTCCCTCCCATCCCCGATGGGTCCGATGCGCAAACAGAACTGCCAAAGACTCCATTAAGAGTACTTTTCAGAAACTTGACATCAAATTGAACATCCTTCAGCCAACACAATTCACATACTACCTGTACAGTATTTCATCTGCCTGTCACTCTCCTTCATAAGCCCCATAAGCCCATCGGTTTCGGCTCCCTTCCAGTGGTTTTCGCCTCCAGATCTGGCAGGATCGAGACCGCCATCTGCGCAAGTCAAAGCGGTTTCAAGCGGCGACATATATTTGTATACCAGGACCCTCCTGTCCGGGTCTCCTGACTGGACTACCCCACACTACCATCCTAGGCTTCCAAACAGGGCACCCCTGGATAGTCCATCGGGAATCACATTTGGATGGCATTCCGCCTCTGGCACTAGGACTGATGGAGACCTATGGGGTACCACTAAGACCTTACCACCGGAGACCGATGCCGAGGGGGTGTGACCGACCTGTGTCTCCCCCGTGACAGGGAAGAGACACAGAGACAGGGGGAGAGGAGATCAAATGGAGAAAGTAGCTACGAGTAGTTCATTTTTAATTCTTAGTTATTTGGCTGGTCTAATTCCTTTATTTCCTTTCTTCCATTGATGTTTGGAGTCTGTTTGAAGGAAACTTTGAAAACTTTGAAACAGTTTGATGGCACACCATGATCAAAGCCAGCGATCTGGCAACACAGCCAGGCCCAGATGCCATCAACCTGTTTGCTGCACACATGTTTGCATGCAAATACAGCTGGTGGTTGAAGCCTTTTGAAGGAGGTTGTTTTTTTTTCAAGAATCTGACTAGATGCCATCAATTTGTTCCGGGATCTAGCCTCAAGTGGTTGATGGCATTTCCCAAGTAGAGATCACAAATTGATGGCAAATCAAAGGTGTTTTGCGAGTGCCATCAAAGTGTGATTCCCTATAATCGTGTTTTATTCATGCTTTTTGGTATGACATATATCCCTAAGTCCCTAGGTCTCCAAATACCTTCTCAGAAGGTACTTGGACCCTCCAAACCTACATAACAGTGTCTCCAATTACCTTCTGAGGAGGAACTTTGATCCCTAGGGTGTATATATATATATATATAGAAGAAGAAACACATGTTGGAAGGGCATTTGGGAGATGTCCCACATACCTGCATGGGCATGGAAACGATGTGCATGATTTCCAGATCTTGTTTGCAGCTTTTCATATTTGTTCCGTATGTTGTGAATCTTCGCTTTTCAAAGCCACATCTTGGCACCCAAAGCACACCTCGCTTCGCCTCGTTTGCCTCGAACACCGGTCCCCCCGCACCCCACGCGTCTCCCCCGTCCGGGCCCTCCGCGGCTCGGGTCTCTCGGTGCTCGGAACGCAGCCTCCAATTGATCGAAGCGATCATCGATCTCTTTCAAGACAGCATGGTGGCCCTCGCCTGGTAGCGCGCACAGCTTGTGAGTGGCCACGCACCGCACGACAGTGGATGATTTGGAGGGTCCACCAGGGACTATTGAAGTAAAGGTGGTAAAGTCATGCAGAAACAACACACACAAAGCCACTCATTCATCAGGGCTATATCTCTTGATCTTTAAAAGCAGGTCCAAAAAATGGTTGCCAGTTGGTTGTTCCAGCCACGTTCCACCAAACCTTGAGTGGCTGCTTTTGATCAGTTTTCATCCATGTTTGGGGAGGTCCGTTTAATATCAGATGGACAGGAAACCACATGTAGATGCTGTGATTTAAGAAATTCTCTTTCCGGCGGCTCAACTCTATTTTGGGCACGTCCTCACAGAGCAAGAACGAGACAAACCACAGCTCCCAAACAGAGCAAGGCGAGTAGACGAGTCTTGCTAGCCAACATCTGCTGGATTGTTTAGCACCAGAATTGTTTCTCTCTTTTGGCTACACTCATGGATGTGGATGAGAATCCTATACTCGTAGAACTGAGAATTCAAGAAAACATCTTTGGAGTATAATGAAGCTTTCCGAGCAAGTCAATCTGAGAAACCTACAGGGCAAGCACCGGTAAAACAAAAGAAACAGTGGCATACAGCGAAGATTAGATAAGGATCCACTACTAAACCACCCAACTTGGGGGACCTTGTGACATCGAACCTCTGAAACCACGAAACATCAACTAGGTGGAGGTCATCGCTAGTAGGTTGCAGGCCATCGCTCCCAGGGTGGAGGCCATCGCTTCTAGGTAGGGGGACAGAGCGGCCTTTCAACAATCCATACACTTTGCGTCTTTGGGTGCTTAGGCATTCCCAGCTTCTGGTGTTGGACGGACCATCACACCCCAGCCGGTGGTTTTTGGAGGAGCCAAATCAACTATACAGGTGTGTATTTTAATCGGGAGACCCCTTGCCCCAAGATGTACACTGGTTGATTTGTCTTCTTCAGGGGATCGAACTGGAAGGTCAGCTTACTTCAATACACACCCATGCCTTCTCAGCGACTGAGAAGCATGTACAGTTGATGATTTACGGGTGGTTGTCTCTCCATTCGATCTCTTCCCAGGAGGGCTTTTGGTCAAAAAGGAGATCTCACCACCTGACCACACCTGCCTTCCCCTTCTGACGTCATGGCGATCCACGGGAAAAGATGTCAGGATGGGCCACGTTGCTACTAAAGCGGGTTCTTTAGTCTTGAAACTGCTGGCTTTTGGACGTAGATGATCTTTCCCCTTCCATCTGCCAAGCATCACCGATGGAACAAGCAATCTTGCGCCGTTGCACGGAGTTTGGGTCCAGCGATTTCAGGTGTTTTTGGGAGTCTCAAACTGCACTTTCACTCTGTTAGGAGCTGTGTGGTGGTTGAGTTGGTGACCGGACAGAGGATCGACACTTGTTCATCCCATGTTGGCAGTTTTGGGAGTTTCACATATTTTCACATATTGTTCACTGATTTTCACCTTGGATCTAGGGGATGATCTTTGCTTCACTGCATCTCCTTCACTGTCCTCGAGAGGGAGGCTTCGCTCCCAAGGCTCACCAGCTTCGAGCCCAGCGGGTCGTTTCGGACGCGACGCGTGACGCTCGACGCGTGCAGCAAAAACAGCAGACCTGGACACGAACCCAACGTATTGACACGTCCATTAAACAACCCATTCACAAAGAGGTCGACCCCAAACACGGTGACCGAGCCAGTCAGCTGCGTGGCGTTTGATGCCTTTTCGTTTGATGCCTGCGTGATCTGATGTTTTGCGTCGAGACGATGACTCGTTTTGAGAAAGAGAAATCTGGTCATCAGACGAACGTCAGGGGTTTCTGGGCGGTCTACCACACACGATCGGTCTAGCGGTCTACAAGTCTGGAGTCGTCAAAAGTCTGTGAACGATGGGAATTGGGTGTGGATCATATGGGTCATTACATGGCAACCTGTCCCCCCAATCATCAAGCTCAGACTTGATCGCCTCGCGATCGTGACCAGGTTGGCAATCGGGCTCATGCAAATGTGCTCATCCAGTGATTGCCAAAAACATCTGACTCTGAACTGTACCCAAACCCAACAAACCCTAATAAACCATATAGAACATATGGGCACCCACCAAAGATTGAGGGATTCCGAGAGTGAGTGGGGACTTCGGGTAAAAGTTCTCGTACCTTCAGATTTCTGGGCTGGACAATAAAGAAACACTCAAGAATTGTGCAAACTCGGGTGCAAGTAATTATGTCCTGAGTCCACCGACTCAGCGATGGTCTTCGGGAACAAATGGAACAAACAAGTCCCTCTGAATATCACTTCTATCAATTTATAGACACCACGCAATTCACAATATTCCCTCAGGATCTAGCCGTAAGTCTCGTTGCGGAACATCAAAACCCAATAGCCAAGGGCTCATCTACTCATGTAGCTGTTGCACAGTGCTCTTCATGTGAGTCGGCCCACTGGCAGTCAGGCAAAAACATCCCAACCAGTCAGTAAGAAGTACTGACTACAACAAAAACCTACACACCTTCCATGAACATGACCCCCATGACCCCCGTGACCCCAGCTTTCTTCCAGAACTGCGGCCGCCCGAACGGTCCCAGGTCCGTCCCAGGTCCGTCCCCGAGCGCCTCAAAGGTGCCATGGCATGACTCGTCCTGACTCGTCGAGCGTGGCGCATCGCGGTGTGGGTCGAACAGCGGTCGTCCGGTAGGACGAGCGTAGCACGGACTGGGAATATGGCCAAAAGGTATCTGTGTATATCTGTGTGCTGAAGCTCTGTCTTTCCTTGTAAAGCAACGCATGATCATGAACATTTGGGAGCTCTGGTTTGGGCCTGTTTAAGGGTTTAAGCTTTCAACGGCTCAATGACCATCAAGGGGCCGTCAAATACTGATCTTCACGGGCCCAGCGAAAAGGATGGTTGGGCCCTAACAGGTGTCAACTAGTAACGCGTTGGCGGGTCCTGGTCGCCATTCAAGATCGACTACTGACTACTGAATCTTTCGACATATATACTCTGGCTCGCGGACTATGGGCTGTGTCACAATGATGGGAACTCAGGATGGAGGGGCCGTAACACTTGTCTGAGTCTTGAGGGTGTTGTTCACACTCACCTGAACAATACACTTGCAACGAGTCGGGAGAATCCAAACAGTGCGGTTGGAGATCTAGAACAAGCACAACATACCTGAGGGCCTCCCCAACATGCAAAGCATGGCATAGATAATTAGATAAATGTTAAAGCATGAAAAACAACTATTATAGTACTACGTACACTATAGCCCAAAAACCATATATTGCGCAACCATCACAAGACACATCTTGGCTGGAAACACCGTCAAGCCACTGCTGGGACAGCTGGGACGTCAGCCGTTGAAGTGTGCGAATGCCCCACCCACTCACTGAACTCTTACAGAACCACCAACCGAAAAACAACGTAGTAGCCTTATTGTTCCAAGTAGTAAGGCCAGAAGCGATTCTTGTGGCCTTCTTGCTCGGTAGCGATGCCCTTTGCTCCCAGCGAACCTGGCTTCTCCCTTCTGTTCTCTTTTTCTGGCAAAACCATTTCTGTGCGGTGAAACAAAGGTCCCGGCAGCACGCGGGTGCACGCGGGGTCGCAGGGAGCTCGAGGATCGAAGTCATCGACCGGAGGAGACCCTTTTCAGCGCTTTTCGAAGACCCGGGGTCCATGGTGGTTCTCTGTAGGAGTGTCCAGATATGAACCATTATGGGATTGGCATCCAGTGATTGGTGGAGGCCCCTCCTCTCACGGCATCTTTCGTCCGAACACGAAAGAAATCTTTTTTGGAATTTTCAGTTGAATTCCAATCCAACCGTGCGATTCAGTTACTGTAAAGTCACCACCTCGTTCCTTTCGCGCTGATCCACTCATTCGCCTCTCTGACCGACGTGGTCTGACCGATCGGACCGTCAGGGCCACTGATGGATCTTGTAGAAGGTCTTGTCCTGCGTAGACGGACAGATCCCTAGTGTTATAAAAAAACTTTCATTGGAAAGAACCTGTTTTCAAAATTTTAAAAAAAGTCAAAAAAAAGTCAAAAAAAAGTCAATCCCAAAAGTCAAAGTCAAAAAAACGTCAAATTGAAAAGTCAAAAAAAAGTCAAAAAAAAGTCAAAAAAAGTCAACAAAAATCAACAGTCAACAAAAAGTCAAAAAAACAAGTCAAACAAAAACTTTGCATAGGTAAACAAGTCAAGGAAAAGCTTGTAACAAGGCAAATTGCAGCCTTTTTGCTTATGGCTTATGGCTTTCAGTCTATTAAAGATACTAGAACCTTTTTGGTTGTTCAACTTTCACCTTTTCCAGCCCCAAGCCAGCCCCAACCCCCTACCCCAGAGTCGCAGGATCCCTACCCAGCCCCAGCCACTGTCCCAGGGTCTCTTCAGCCCCAAGCCAGCTGCTGCTCAAATTTTGGGGCAGGTTGCTGCCAGGGCCAGGCGTTGGGCTGGCTGCGGCTGGCTCCTGGCGGAGGGGTCAGGTTGAGGTCGAGCTCAGGCAGGCTACAGGCGGGCTGGGGCATGCGGGGCTGGGCCGGCAAAAAAAAGTCAAAAAAAAGTCAATTGGAAAAGTCAAAAAAAAGTAAAATGTGCGGATCCTAGCCTTGGCGGATTACTGGAGGCAACAAAAAGTCAAAAAAAAGTCAAAAAAAAA